AGCGGAGAGCCATTAGCGGCAACGACGTCATCACTACCCGAATACGGCTCATGGAGATACAAGTTGTTCAAGTCGGATGTCATGTGATGAGTAGCTCCACTATCCAGCAGCCACGGATTGGGATCATAGGAAGAGCCAATGGCGACATTAGCACGAGGCTGTCATGGACGGAACGGACTAGTCTGAGTCGGATAGCTCAGCATCACACGAGACTGAAATTGGGGACACCGCCGTGCACTATTTCCTTGTGTGTTGCCGATTTCACATTTTCCCAAGTAAGGCTTATAGCCACAAGTGTCTTGAGAACGACCATCAAATTGAGGCTGAGAAACGTACCCATTCCCAGCATTGTACTGCTTCTTGTTGTTGTTGTATTGTTGATTGTGGCGACTATTGTTGTTGTTCTTGTTGTTGTTGTGACGTTGAGCAGCGACGTTAGCACTAGCAGGAAGAACCAATGACGACGCTGCATCTTTAGAGAGGAGTTTAGCTTCATGGTTATGGAGGTACTCATGCACATAAGCAATGGTAGGTGAAGTATCCCTATTCGAAACTTGATCAATAATGGGTTGATACTCTTCGGGTAACCCATCAAGAATCGTTTCAATTTGATCATCATGCGCCAGTGCACTCTCAAGGCTTACCAAAGTATCAAATCGTGTCGTGAGATCATGTAGATACTCGTCAATGGTACGTGCACCTTTCTTTATAAACTTCAGCTGATCCTTAACCTGACGAGCATGACCACGACTTGCCTTGCCATACGTCTCAGCTAATGTAGACCAAATTTCAGTTGCAGTCGTGGTGCGAGAGAGAACTGATTGAACCGACGGCGAGACCGAACCAAAGACTGCACTATACAAAAGACGATCCTGACGCTTCCAAAGGATGAAATCTGGGTTTGGGGACACCACAGTAGCCACTGTGACTGTCGTGGGAGGGATTGGACCAGATCCATCAAGATGGCCAACAAGGCCATAGCCATAAACGAGAACGTGAACTTGAAGCTTCCAGAGGAGGTAGTTGGTTGTCGTAAGCTTAGTGATGTTGGAGGTGTTGATGTGAAGCAGCGTTTGATTGTTTGTTGTTGTTACAATAGTGTCGGCACCATTAATGGAGGTTTCTTGGGAAGTTGACATGACAAGAGTGAAGGTAGATGATGATGTCGGCTGAGAAACTTTTTAGGTTAGAGAAGCGTTCTGCTCTGATACCATATAGGGAATAAGTGTTAATCTTATTATTAAGGAAATTACAAGTATTTATACAGAGAGTGAAGAGAAACCTAGAGTACCTAATATTACTAATTACAACAAGATCCCTTTACACATACAATATTTAGTAGCAGTCCTTATATAAGCAACTGTGGAAAGAAAAGGTTCATACTGAGATTCAGTGAAAAGCACCAGTAACTATATACAAGGAATAACATGAAACTCATAGGAAAAAAACTTCCATTAAAAAGACAAATAACATTGTAGCAACGAATAACATAATATGAAATCAAAATAATTTGAAGGTTAAACAAGTCATATTTATAAAATGCTTTAATCGTACTCCAGAGATGCGGCAGAGGCTGAACTATTTGGATCTCACATGTCATATAAATCTCTAGGCTGAACATTCACAACAAACTTCCATTCTTTCTCGTGTGAGCCTTCAACGTCATATACAATTCTTGCTTGAGAAGCCAATATATGTGGCTCATCATCATCATTATCCCTTGTGTGTATCAAGCATAAAAAATTAACCATTTGTTGACCGTAAGGATCTGTTTTATATCCTCGTTCATTGTGAGTATCAGTTCATTTGCATTTAAATTAATACAACCCTAAAAGTCTCATAATAGTTCTGCACTATAACTTCAACTAATTTTCCATAGTAACAAGGTTAACCAAACTTCGGTTCTGAGATCAAGCATAAAAATTTAATCATAAGAGTGTTAATCTAAATCAGAGAGACCATTAAACTGAGTTCATTGTTCCCTACAAAAGTTTTTGACTCAATCAAACAAAATTTTTTTTGGACGGACTCGATAGAACTCCAAAAGACTAAACAATATTAGTAACTACCTCCCCCAAACTTAAACAACACTACCCCCAGTGTTGCCAAGCCTAAGATTGGCGAAGCAAAAGAAAACAAATGAAAATTGTATGGAAAAAGGGAAAAATTCGAAAAATTCACCGTCTGTATTGTGGTGTTGAGCGACACCAACAGGTGTTGTCGATCGACACCCTCTGCGTTAGAAATCAGGCAGCTAAAGAACAAAATGTTTGTAGTTCTATCAATCGAATTCCTGATGTATCACTGTTAAGAACACTAAAACACAAGTCAAAAGCAACAAAAGAGATATTAATGCCCACTTCATACAAATTTCAATGCGGAAGCAAATAACAAACTGACTCAAAGCAAAAAGAAAAATGACTCAAAAGGATAAAAGAAAACTTAAACCGGAAATGCCAAGGATTTAAGCCTCATCATCGTGATCATCAGCAGGTGGAGAGCGGGAACGAGGACGACGACGTGGGGCGCACACATCCACATCTAGAGAGAGAAGCGATCGCGTTCCATATCTGGTGGACCCTCTAACCAATGTATCTCTGAAAATCAGATTGCTCCATGGGAATATCTGGTGGTGGTGGCAGCTCGAACTGTGCTGGTGCGGAAGAAGAAGAAGCTCCAGGATCAGCAGCAGGCGTAGGAATAGCTCAAGAAGAAGAACCTTTGCGAAGTCGTGAAGAGGGTTGGGGACACGCTATGGTAGTATCAGGCTCGAAGCTAAGCTTGTCTTTGTCATCCCCAATGTCTGTGAGCTCTCTCTGAGGCAGCTGAATCATACGCGCGCCTGAGCTATCAGTAAAACACCATAACCAACCATCCTTTATCCATCAATGAACGTGCAGTGACTATTGAACATTCGCCTGTGCTAACGTTCAAATGCTTAAAAATAGGAGTAAGCAGACTCCCAACACAATCAAACTTCTTCCCTGTCCCCACAAACGGCCTAGAAGTCTTAAGAGAAACCAAATGATGAGCAAACATCGCACAAAAATTCACCCTAGTCAACTCAACATACTCGCAATCATCCTCTATCATAGGACCCAATGCATAAGACAACAAAGCTAATTCTGATACTCTCATCTTTCCTGGCTCAGTCTGGCATAAGAGTGTGTTCCCTAGAACTCGAATAACATACCTGATAACAGGATGCTTGACATTGGATTGCGTAGAAGTCTTCGAGTTGTATCTACCATTCCCGATGAAAGACCAGAGAGTAGAGGCATCATCGTATTGCGCATGCAATGTTACTCAAATGTTATCCCTATCAACCCAAAGATATCACAAATATCAAGTAGTTAAATGTGATACCTAACTCCGCGGATGAAAAATGTGAGAGTGCATTCGTTAGCGCGTGGGAGCCTCTCGTTTACATAGTAAACCTGTGCGGTAGCTAGAACTTGGCGCACCAAATATGGAAATAGGTCGTACTGCTTGGAATAGATGGTGCCTAGACCAATCTTCTCAAAAATGTGCAGCACTTCCTCTTTTATACCCATTCTCCGCAATGCAATAGAATCGACAAATCTGATTGGTCTAATATCAACCCCAACCATGCATTGTACAGCAGACTATCATAGTCATCTGAATCCACTGAAATCAGTCTGTTGATGTACTCCTCCTTCGTAAATTCCGTCTTTGGATCATCTGCAAAAACGGCTAATTCCCCCATGAACTTAGTTGCTTTATCGTATTAATACACAGAACTTTCGAGTGTGCTTATACCTACATAAACTAATTTATAATTTGAATTTACTACATAAACTATAAAAATGTGGCCAAAACCTAGAAATTTAACGACGCCGTTAATTAAACCGTTAGTTCAGCTGACTGGGATGCCACGTAGATGGTCAAAACGACTGTGTTTTATAAAGACAAGTCTAAAACACAAAAAATACGTCGTTTCACTAAAGTTAAAATTTTTGTAAATAGACAATCCGAAGATTCGAACTCCCAACATCAAAGTTTCATAGGCCGACTCCAAGCCAGTTAAGCTACAAGGTTCCTCGTTGTAACACCAAACATAATTATTTATATAACGCTTCTTTTTATTTTCTTCTTCTTCCTCTTCATGAACAAATGATAGCATGAAACAATTGGGTTACTTGAATTGAACACTTATATTAAGGAATATTTCTATATTAGATTAAGAAATTAATATATTTGGGAGATTTGTTTCCATCATGAACAAATCTCCCAAATTTATTAATTTCTTAATCTAATATAAAAATATTCCTTAATATAAGTGTTCAATTCAAGTAACCCAATCTAATACAATTCAAACCAAATTGAATAATATATCCAAAAATTGAACTATACTTCATGGTCTAGTTAGATTCATAATTTATATATTAAAAACTGCAAATTTCAATTTACTTAAATAATGTTCTGTCATCTAAGTTTATATATAAATTAAGGATAATTAGTTGAAACTCACAAAATAAAAACTGGTTTTTAGATTATATTTCACTTTTCATTCTAGTATTTATAAACCTAAAATCCTAAGATCCAGAAAAATCAAACCCAAATTGAATCAAACTATGGATGAAAGCACCATGGAAGAAGAAGAAGAAAGAAGCGTTATATAAATAATTATGTTTGGTGTTACAACGAGAAACCTTGTAGCTTAACTGGTGTTAAGTCGGCCTAGGAAACTTTGAGGTTGGGAGTTCGAATCTTCTGTTTGTCTATTTCCAAAAATTTTAACTTTAGTGAAACGACGTAGTTTTTGTGTTTTAGACTTGTATTTATAAAACACAGTCGTTTTGACCATCTATGTGGCATCCCAGTCAGCTGCACTAACGGTTTAATTAACGGCGTCGTTAAATTTGTATGTTTTGGCCACATTTTTATAGTTTATGTAGTATATTCAAATTATAAATTAGTTTATGTAGTTATAATCACACTCGAAAGTTCTGTGTATTAATATGATAAAGCAACTATGTTCATGGGGAATTAGCCGTTTTCCCATCATAGTCATCCCGATCCACTGAAATCCGTCTGTTGATGTACTCTTCCTTCGTAAATTCCGTCTTTGGATCATCTGCAAAAACTCTTAGAGGAGTGACTCTCAAACCTTCTCTCTTTGGCCATGGATGACGAGATAGGACCCGAGGAGAGGTGGGAGGACTCGCTGGAGTTTGCTCAGAAGTCGCCGGAGCACGCCGGAGCCGGCGGAAGTGAAGAAGACCTTGCTCCGCCGCGACCTCGTTTCGCCTGTCTAGAGCCAGCCATCAAACAGATCGAAGAAACGGACTTGTGGGGGTTGATAGATCTCTCAAAAACAAAGAGATTAATACCAAAATCGTCGAATTTGGTGGTGAAACGAGAGAGTAATCGCAAATTTGAATTTTGGCTTCGTGGTTCTTCGTTTCTGAAAAAAAATTAAAACATTGGAGAAAGCTCGGGTTTTAAAATCCGGAACGCGTCAGTGACGTTGTTGAGCGACACCAATAAGTGGTGTTGATCGACACTAAACATTCTAGTCGAATATATCAACCGTTTCTCAGCAGCAGCTTTAATGTCGAAATTCAGCTTCTTGACTGCCCATGTTGCTTTGTACTCAAGCTCCACTGGTAGATGACATGCTTTCATGTAAAGTAGATGGAAAGGTGTAGTCCCAAGTGGTGTCTTATATGCAGTCCGGTATGCCCATAGCGCGTCATCTAACTTGGCTGAACAATCCTTTCTTGTTGGACCAACTGTTTTCTCAAGAATCACCTTGATTTGCCGGTTAGAGACTTCCACTTGTCTGCTTGTCTGAGGGTGATATGGGGTAGCCACACGGTGTTGAACACCATGCTTTTGCAGAACCTTCTCAAAAACCTTATTAATAAAGTGAGATCCACCATCACTTATAACAATCCGAGGCACTCCAAATCTAGGGAATATAATGGTCTTAAACAGCTTAAGAGCCACTGAAAAATTATTCTTCGGACTAGCAATAGCTCCCACCCACTTAGAGACATAGTCAACAGCGACTAGAATGTACTTATTCCCGTAAGATGGCAATGAAACAAAATATCCGGAATCTCAGACTCTGAAACACATCTTATGTAGACCCCGTCTGAACAATGCTTATACAAGTGAGGCTCATCCCAAAAATAGCCTCGGATTTCTCTCAAGAACTTCTTCTTAGTGGAACCTTTAAACTTGTCAGGCTCACCACCTTTAAACTTGTCAGGCTTGCAGCAAGATAATTCGCAATATCAGCATACCACAGATGATTAGAAGTCCCAACAGCAGCCAATTCCTCGTCAAAATCGGATTCTGGTTCGAAAATCCAAGGGTGACGATCGACACCAGTAGTGGTGTCGATGGACACTACACCTAAGTGTTGATCGACACTACACCTAAGTATCGAATAAAATTGTCGAGAATTGCATTGTCGGCTCGATAATCGTCTGTCTCGTCCATGGTGTCGACCGACACCAAGGTGGTGTCGAGCGACACCCCCACTGCAGTCAGGCAGATTCGACGTTTTCTCTCAAGATCTTCTTGGGAACCAATTTCTACTGAATAAACATTCTCATATGGCAGGAAATCATCTATAGGAACCTTATCTTCTATCCTAATTCTTGAGAGATGGTCATCAACTCATTCTCAACGCCTTTCTTGTCCCAAACTTCAATATCGAACTCTTGAAGAAGAAGAATCCATCGCAGCAATCGTGGCTTAGCATCCTTTTTCTACATCAAATGTTTTAGAGCAGTTGGATCTGTATGCACTATCACCTTCGCTCCCACCAAATAAGAATAAAACTTCTCAAAAGCAAAAACCACAACAAAAAGCTCTTTCGCGGTTGTTGCATAGTTCTTCTGTGCCTCATGAAGTGTTCTACTAGCATAGTAGCATGAAGTTTCTTATCCTTCCGCTGTCCTAGAACAGCTCCCACAGCATAATCACTAGCATCACACATCACCTCAAAAGGTAGATCCCAATCTGGCGGTTGAACAATTGGAGCACTCACTAAAGCCTTCTTAATATGTTCAAACGCAGAAACACAATCAGCAGTAAACTCAAACTTCACATCTTTGCAAAGCAAAACAGTTAGTGGCCTTGCAATCTTGCTGAAATCTTTGATGAACCGCCTATTGAAACCAACATGTCTAAGAAAACTCCTCACTGACTTCACAGAATCCGGCGGTTGCAAACTTGTCATCACCTCAATCTTCGCGCAATCAACCTTAATACCAGCTTCTGAAACCCGGTGCCCGAGCACAATACCATCTCTAACCATGAAATGACACTTCTCCCAGTTAAGTACCAAGTGCTTCTCTTCACATCTAGCAATCACCTTGCACAGGTTGTCAAGACAGTCATTAAAAGATGACCCATAAACCGAGAAATCATCCATGAAAATCTCCATGTAATCCTCAACCATGTCTGTAAAGATAGACATCATACATCTCTGAAAGGTCGCAGGAGCATTACAAAGTCCAAATGGCATCCTGCGATATGCAAAAGTACCATAGGGACAAGTGAATGTGGTCTTCTCTTGGTCATCGGGATGTATTGGGATCTGAAAGAAACCAGAGTACCCATCCAGGAAGCAATAATATGGATGATTTGCTAGCCTCTCCAGCATTTGATCAATGAAAGGCAAAGGAAAATGATCCTTCCTTGTTGCAACATTAAGTCGATACTCATCTCTTGACTGAAATTGGATAGATGATCCCTGCTTCCAGCAATTTCATGATATCTTTCTTGACAATCTCTTGCAAATTCGGGTTCAGCCTTCTCTCGTGTTCTATTGTTGCCTTTTCATCTTCTTCAAGGTGAAACATGTACATGCATAAGTCCGGAAAAATACCTGAAAGATCATCAAGAGAATAGCCAAGAGCCTTGCAAAAAGTGCGCAGCTTACTTAGCAGTAACGTGAGCTCTGTGTTGTCTAAAGAAGCATTAACAATAACTGGATAAGAAGAATTAGCACCAAGAAATGCGTACCTCAGCCCCGTAGGGAGTTGCTTGAGTTCGATTTTTGGAGATTTTTCAGCACTTCAATCACTTAGCGCATCAGCGTTTTTAGAAGGCTCAACAACCTCTTTTAGGTGAACCATCTTCATCACTTGCGCACTACCATCCATCAACTGAACATACCTAGAAGCCTCATCATCTAAAGACTTACTGTCATTTGCTGAAGCTACTAAAGCTCTCTCTAGAGGGTCTGGAAAGTGTATCTCCTAGAATCTTATTCTGAAAAACATTGCTGACTAGTACACAGACCATCATAACCCCTATCTCTCTAGACAAAGCCTTAGTCACCATCTTCTTTACAACCCGCTTAAACATAGGCGAAGTCTATAAGCAGTCAGGAAAAGGCATCTCAATCGTGAGTGACTCTAATATCTTCTTGTATCTCTCCTCCTCTTGCTCCTGTTTTGACTTCTTAGACTTCTTAGAAAAAGGGACTGTAGGTTTGTAAACTCTGGTCTTGGTCGTGGAAGGCGGTGAAGCAGAAACTGGTTCTGTTCGAGACAGGTGTCGATCGCCACTAGTGGTGGTGTCGAGCGACACCAACTGCGGATCAACAAGATCTTCATCTTCAATCTCATCAAGCTCTATGACATCTTCAACTGTCAAACCTGGTTTCAACACTGATTTGAGCTGTTTTCCACTCCTCAAGGTCACTGCATTGCAAGGATGCTTAGGATTTGCATCGGTCTTTCCAGGTAGAAAGCCTGGTTGTCTGTTCTGGTTTGCCTGAGTAAACTAATAGTCTAACTTCTTGGTATAATTGTTCAAAGCTTCTATCTTACCATTCAAATCAGGGTATAACGCATCCATTCTCCCATTAAAGTCCACTGTCATCTTCTGCTGACCCTCTAGAATCTGTTCTAGCATAGACTTCATCTCAGTTTCTGAAGATTCCGGTGAAGTTGGTTGGTAAGATGAGTTCCCATAGCTCCTCGTGAAGCCACTACTCTTCTGATAATCAGGTCGTGGAGTGTAACCAAAAGAATTCTGATTTCCTATGTAAGTGCTCTTCTGACCATACCCGCTGTTGAACCAGTTTCCCTGTGCGTTACCAAACTTCTGACCCTGATACCCAACACCATTGACGTAGTTCACGTCTTCTTCTTCATCCTCTTCTGGTTCAAAAGCCTCAACCTCAGCAGCAAACTTAACATTCTTCTTATTAACAAGAAGATGATGCATAAAATCAAGCTTCGCCTTAACTTTAGCAAGTGGAAGTCCCTCCATGTTTTCAGCTAGCTTTTTTCTCTCAAAATCAGCACCTTTGGTACTATTGCTGGAAGCGAAGTTCTCGATCAGCTTGGTGGCTTGAGCTAGAGACCATGTGTTGTAATTACCGTTGCTAGCAACATCTAAAGCCATCTGGTACCTCCAATCCAATCCTCTGTAGAAAATGCCCAAAAGCTGAAATTTCTCGTACCCATGGTGTGGACAATCTCTCTAATACCCCTTAAAACGCACCAAGCAGCCTTGAATGTCTCTGAGATTCCTTGAGAGAAAGTAGAAATCTTGTTCCTCAGATCCTCTGACCTTGCATCATCATAAAATTTATTCAAGAACGCAACTTTCACATCCTTCCAGCACGTAAGAGATGCAGGCTTCAACTCCTTGAGCCACGATAGTGCTTCTCCAGCTAAAGAGTGTTGGAAAAGCTTACAGAGCAGAAAATCTGAAGATACACCATCAGCCTTGATGCTAGATACCAAGTTTTCAAACTTCTCAATATGGTCCATCAGATGCTCATGAGTATGGCCATGGAACGAGTGTTGTCCTACAAGACTGTAGTACCCAGGCTTCAACTCAAAGTTGTTCCTCTGAAATGCAGGAGGACTTATAGCATAGCGGTTAGAATAGAACAGAGCAGACTTGTTGTATTCTCCAAGTGTACGGTTCTCATCCTCTGCTTCAGCATTCAACGCCAACTGGTTGTTGTCTGCTGCGGCTTGGTGTCGATCGACACCAACGGCGACTAGTTCAAGAATTACAGTCCTGTTAGCATTCAGCTTCTGCCCTTGTGCATTTCTCACATGACCATCTCCATCTCTGAGAGTACCCCCAGCATCTTGAATCAGAATCACTAGTGGTGCCATTGCTGCATTTTTCTTAGCTTTTCGAATTCCTCTTTCTAAACCCGCTAATTCTGAATTGTTGAGATCAACTAACTCTTTGATCTGCTGGCTTCTAGTATTAGGCATAAACCTGAAACACCAAAAATAAAAGAGAAAAGAAAAGCGTAAGTAACAAAATAAAAATAAATAAAAAACTTAGACTAAACTGTTAACCTAAATCTAATGGTAATTAAAATTGAGTCCCCGGCAGCGGCGCCAAAATTTGATCGGCTCAAATTTGCCCTGAGCTACTCTCTCAATTAAGAGATCACTGTAGTACTTAGGGATCGAATCCACAGAGACTCAAAATATTCGGTATTAAAATTAAGCTAAGCACACAAAGTTTTCATATTTAAAACAGCAAATTGAAATAAAGATTGGTTTTTAAAACAATATGAGAAAACGCTAAGCTCGGGGATTCTCAGGAAATCAATCAATTTAAATAAATTAATAATTTAGGATTCAGATTAAGCGTCGTTCTTGAACTCAAATCACTAATGTAAAATCTTTCAGCTTTCGTTGCGATGATTATCTAAATTTAAAACTAGAACTCCAAATTTCTTTGCTAAATTCTAAAGTTTTAAACAAGCATTAACATACAAGTTTGATGTGTTCACAAAATCCCTAAACCAAATCTCTTTGCGAATAAGTATTTTGCTCACCCTAGGTTCTTTCAGGTAATTAATCACACTCTCATGTCAAATTAATTATCCTAAGATCTAGACTTTAGCCGATTAATCCAAAACTAGCATTACGAACAACCTATGGTGAAGAACAATTAAGATGTGAACCCTAATCTAACAAATCTACCTAACAAGTCATGAAATCCCTAATGAGAATCCCCAACCCTAACAAAGAAAACTACTCAGACATCATGTAAGAAGCAAACATCATGAACTGAATAATATAGATTAGAAAACTGAATAGAGAAACAAGGGAGGATTGAAATCTTCTCTCTACAAGGAGTTCTGATCTCTCTCTCTCATTAAAAGCTCTCAAAGTTTTGCAATAGAATAAAGCGTAAGTGTTTATAAAACCTAAAAAGTATTTAAATATGTCTAAAACACGTCAGGGACCAATGTTGCAACTTGGGAAAACTTTGGGCATCTTTTGTAAATCTTCAAAACTTGGGAAAACTCGAAATCTCTCGTCAGGTACACGGTGTCGATCGACACTGATAGGTGGTGTCGATCGACACTCTTTCACAGATCATCTCCAAGTCAGATTACTCAGCTTTGCTCCAATAAGCTCCAAATCACTCCATTTTGATCCAATCCATGTGAAATAGCTCCTACACCTGAAATGACTCAAAAAGACTTGAAAACACTATAAAAGCTCTATAAATAAGACTTATATCATGGCCAAAAACCCGTAAAAACCATGATATATCAAGTATGAACATTGCTTGCTCCAACAAATCTACCGGAATTCGTAAAAATAACTCCAAGTTCAGAATTTGGTCTAATATTGTTATGAATTGTAGGACGATCATCAACCCGGTTTCTTCGATTAAATCGTTTCTCAATATCATCAAGATACATTGAGAAAAATGTCAAACACTCATCAGCTAAATATTGCTCACATATAGAACCCTCTGGTTAAGCACGATTACGAACATATGATTTGAAATGTCCAAGCCACCTACAGATGAATGAATCAATTTCTAGTAAAATGACTAAATGACCAAGCATATTTATATATCAACTTATATCCAGCTGAAATAAATGTCACCTCTCAATTGGATGCATCCAACGAAATGAGACAGGTCCACCTTGCTTAGCCTCCTCAGTGAGATGTACTTTTAAATGTACCATCACTATAAAAATGATGGAGGGAATAATATTTCCATTTGACATAGAGTCAGCACAATACACTCTTGTAATTTATCCAGATCATCCTTATCGAGGACTTTTGTAGATATATCACGGAAAAGTGACATATCCCAATAATGGCAGAAGTCACTTCTTGTGGCAGTAAGCTCTGAATAGCAATTGGCAGCAGATGTCTCATTATCACGTGATAGTCGTGAATTTTTAAGCCAGATAATTTTCTGTTATTAGGATCAACACACGTTGAAATATTGGAAGTATAACCATCAGGGAATTTCACATTTTTCAAAACATTTAAAAAAATGTCTTTTTATGATTATTCAGAGTAAAAGACGCTGGTTGATACTTCTTATTTTTGTCAGACCACATATCAAGACGTATACGAAGCTACCGAAGATCTTTTCTAGCACTCAGATTATCCGACACATTCTTCTCTATGTGCATGATGTCCAAATTGTGTCGTATCATAACATATCTCCAATAAGGCAACTCAAAAAGTATCATCCATTTCCTCCATTGTTGATCATCACGTCTTTGGATGTCGCTACGATCTTCTTTCTCCCAACTTGACTAGCTCTCTTGGCAAAAGTAACGTTCACGTTTTCAAGTTGATGGAGTATTGTAGAACCTGATGGCGTAACTGGCGGAGATCGAGTATCTAATGTTCCATC